CACCTGCCGTTGCAGACGGAATCGGTGGGATAAACTGACAATACAACGAGGCGTCTGGGTACGTGAACACATGCCCACCTGCTTACGTAGCGGTGAAAATTAATGCTCCTCCATCTAACCAATATGGCCCACCAATTTGAATCCAAAAGAGACTTTCGGTATGAAAACCAACCCCTGAAACGGCTTTGGGACTTCAAAATATGTCCCGTTCCACTCAATACTTGAATATATTATAGGATGTCAAAATACCTTTCCTTTTAAACGAACTTCGAACGACCAGTTTTTCCTTTATCAACGAACTGGCAACAGCTGAACCTCGAAGCAGGGCTCATTCCAAAAAATCACAATGTGGAATTGGACGGTTTTTGGTGGAAAGCTTTTATCCAAGTGCACGTGGATTAACTTACCAATGTAGCACATCCCTATTCATGTAGTAGCTACATTAAAGTGAATATGTGTGCGCATTTACGAGCTTATAAAAGCGTGATTGTCACTGCTTCATTTTATTTAGCTCAAACTGCAAAACACCTGATCAAGGGAAGAAAGGACGTACAAAGGAACAGGAGGAGTCGTTTGCAGGTTTACAGGGGGACTCGGAAGAGTGGGCTGAATAAGATCGCCAAGGCTCTGTGAATGTCGAACATCTGGGAAGAGGGCAAGAACAGACCCGTCACTGGCGCCCCTCCGATGTAGCTGCTTGCGCCGTGAGAATGGTGGCGGGGGCAATGGTTTGGGAAGCGGTGGAGGCAGCCGGGTAGCCACGTCTACGGATAATTGCGAAGCCTCGTATGATGACTAAAACAAATGCAAATTATTGCGCTACTGATAATTATTTAGTAGAAAGTATTCAAGGAACTAATAAAATAATGTTATGCGTTACGGGCGAGACAGAAGAAATAAGAATTCAGCACAAAATCAAAACAAATGCTACACACTGACCTGATGAAGAAGCTTTTTGCAGTTAGCCCCCTTCCGCGTAACCATGTTTTTTTCTGGTACATGAACCCCAGTTTCCATCAGACCTTTTTTTACTTTCCGAGGAAATCCATGCGCGAACCGGGAGTAAGTCCCTTGGAACAAAACTTGTTTGGTTCGGTTCGAGGATTGATATGAATATTTCAGCTGAAATCCATTAGCCACGGTGGCACAACCGCGTAGTATTCACAGACTGACAACAGGCAGTCCGTAGTATACAATGCGTAATAATGTGCCAGATCATTTATATCAATTTTGGGATGGAGTCTGAAAAAAATGTAGTCCGAAGGATTTACTCCAAGCGCACCACACCCTGATCCCAGTTTTGGCAAAGCTTCCAAACTCAATCAACTTCCGTCGTTATCGTGAGGCCAAACGTAACAATTGGTTTACTGGACCTGGTGAAATTCCGTAAAAAAGCCAATAACCTCGGATAAAGTGGGGCATTACTCCAGACGCGGGCAGTC